TTTTTTTTTTGTCGCCTCTTTTCCTTCCGCACGGTTTGATTGGTCAGAATGCCTAGCAGGCGGAGGCAGGGTGCTTCCAGGTGTACCAACGGAGTAGTCTATCTTCATTCAACCCAAACTGCGTATCCCCCAGGAAGCTGCCCTAGATAGTTTGCAGAAGCATCGGCTTCAGGGTTTTGGGTTCAGGGCTCGACGCCTGATAGCAAGAATTGTCTTGAGCGAACAAAGAACCGCCGTGGATGGCAAGCTGCGTAACAAGTATGTGCTAACTGAAGCCCGCGGGGATAGTTGGAACTGACATTGAGCCAAAGAACACAATCGACCACAACCAGCACGTGGCACCAGGCAGCCTGGGATGAGGGCACTCGCCAAGAACTGCGTCAAATGAAACGAAGATTTCAACTTCCCCATAACCAACAACACTCCAACGAGCTCGGATGCTTTTGCGCGGACCTGCTTCATCGCGATTTGGAAGCTTTCACTCGCAGCTCCGAGCTTCGATTCTAAGACTTGCCCGAAGCCCCAAACCAGGGGTAATCGAGAGCATGAAGGCCGACGAAGTGGCTTGGGATTCCCTTGGCTCCTCCTGATCGAACTTCAAAATTGAATATTGCCACATCTAGAGAATCGACGATGATGACGGCTCGGGTTTGGGGGTGGAAACGTCTTTCAGGATCCAGTGACTCGGGTAGAAGGCTTTTAAGTAGGGTTGAGGGGTTGTGTTCTGCTTCTCCAGCTTCGCTGCTGTACGCTATGCGCATGTCGCTGCTGCTCCTGTGTAGCTGCAGCAGGTTGTACGCAAGGCCGTCGAAAGTAACCGAAGCCCCGAGGTCAAAAGGTGAAGGCAAAGCTATTGGAAGCTCGTAAGCTTAAGTTGGTAGTTCTTCCGTAACGGCCCTAGCCCAGGCCCCATCAAACCTGCGAACATCCATCTGCCAACCAAATGTCTGCACAAAAAAACGCAGTTGGGCTCCTGGTCTTCGCCCAGGGCTCGGCACAGCAGGCGCCAGCCGCTCGACGACTTGGCAACCAGAACGAGTCCTTGTGTGTTGGCGTGTGTCTGGCTTAGCTTCTTGCTAGCGCTTCGGAGTTGGGTGACTGCGAGTGCTGGTGCATGACTCCAAAATGAATCACAAGCCCAAAAGAGTTCGGGAAAAGAAGAGTCCTTCACGGCGTTCTCAAGCAGCTAGCACCACCCGACATCCTACTGTCTGAAAACCCGCTGAAGCCAACACCTGGACCACGAGCACCAGACTCCAAAACACGTTGCTCTTACCAAGGTTCCAGAAAGGGACTGCTCCACACGCGATGCTGCTTTGGGATATCCTTCATCACCTTAGGGCAGAGTCCCGGGCGTCGGGCCTCGTTTGGGGCTTCCGTTCACGAATCGAAGAGGGCCCAAAGATGCCAGAAAAGAGTGTTCCTATCTATCTACCCCTCTACTATCCTCAAATCTCAGGTCCTACACCCGGACTAAAGAGCAAAGCCACGGAAGCCGGGGGACTGAGAACTCCCATCTTTGGCAGCATGGCAGCGCAGTCCTCTGCTGGGACCACAGAAGACCGAGCTAAGTCCAGGCCGAAGTGGCCCAAGAAGGAAAGTGGCTCTTTCGGGCCTTGGGGGTTTTGGGGTTGAAGGGAGCTAGCTTTGAGAACTTTAGGCTGATTTTCTTTGTTTTAGCAGACGAAGGAAACCTTTAGTGGGTAGAGGAGCATGCCTTGGCTCGGGAAAGATGCTCCAGGATTCTGGCCCTTGACGAGATGCGGGCAAAACCCAACCCCAGCGCCGAATGTCACACCTCCAAACCTTCAAACCCTTCAAACGGTCCTAAACCCTAAGTCCCAACAGGTCGACTTGAACCGGTCGAGGGCTCCAGGGGACTTGGACAATGAGGCCTGCTGGGAAACCCCATTTGATGAAACATGTTCTTTGTGATCACAGTGGCAAAGTGCTATTCTGCGAGGAGACCGGCCCCTAGAGTGATCGCTTGATTCTTGTAGCAGCCGCGACACAGACACATTGATCCCGGCCGGCTTCCAGACCACGGCAAAGTCGCGCTCCTGGAAGAGATTGCAATGCGCCACGGGATTTGATGGCTAAGCGTTGCTTGAATCGGAGTCTTTGAAAGCCCCGAACCACTCCCGGGGATGAATAGGCTTGCATCTAGCTGAATGTAGCTACAATGCTAGAACGAGATAGATAGACACAACATGCATGCATATGCACGTCCTCTTATTCTAGATGCCCACACCAATCGGATCCCGAAAACCCCAACAGCACTTCCGAGCCAACTGCGCTGGTACCCAGCAATGTCAAAGTTCACGGGCTTTCCTTCAGATATCTCTTTGTTGTCCCTTGATCTACCCACGGAACTCCAGCTGCTAGTTTGTGGTAATGGTCGGGAAACCGACAACAAAAGCTCAGGCCGGCCTCCTGCACGACGCGCACGCCAAGAGTGGCGGCATCTTCGGCCTTCCGCACATCAGGGCTGTGACTGTGAGGCTGAGCATCGATAAGGGTGAAGATTCGCTTGTCATGAGCAGTGTCTTGCTAACTGGACCGCCCTCACCCTTCTGAGTGCATGCGGGCCGGGGAGACCTTTGAGATCCTCTCTCCCCCTCCCTCTCTCTCTC